GCTCTCCCTTGCTAGGTTGGAGAGGCTATCAGGGTAATTTTCATCCTGAACTCGATTTCCATCAATGAGGAAGAAAACTGGCTAAAGGAACCCATGGGGACACCCACAGGCAGGTGCCTGCGTGGTTCTGACAGCCCTTAGGGAAGAGCCACAGCCACCAGCACACATGAGAACAGCGAACACAAGCCTGCAAACACCAAAGATTTCCAACAACAGCAATAGAAAACCTCACATGTCAAATTCTGTTAAAGAGGCAAGAACTGTCTAAAGAAATGGGTGCGGATCAGCACATCCTGACGGACAGATCAGCAACCTGACGAGTTTGGATTTTTAAAGTGCGCCACATATTCACTGAAGTTTTTACTGAAAGGAAACGAACCTACGAAAACCTGTGTATGTACCCTCAGCGTATGACTCCACACACGGTCACAGATGGAACACACCAATGCGAACAGTGTTTGGATCAAGAAACGCCATCACCGCATCCCAAAAGCCCCCATATGCCCCTTCAAGTCACTAACTACCCGAGTGACACTAATCCTGATTTAATGGCTCAGATTCATTTTGCCTGTTCTTCTAATTTACATAAATGGAAGCACACACCGTGTGCTATTTTGTATTTGGCTTATTGCCTTCAACATCATGCTTGTGAAAGTAGCTGTCACCACTCCTCCTCACTGCCATGCAATACTCCACGACAGGCAGGAACGTGCCACTGTGAGTGATCCTCCTACTGATGGTGCAGTTTGCAGCTACAGGTACCATGGTGCCAGGACACGCACATTGCAGTGAACGTCTTCTGGCTGAGGTATGCGCCTCTCTGCGGTAGAAGTCACACCTCCACTAGCAGAGTATAAGAGCTCTGGCTGCTCCCAGCCTTGCCAGCATTGCCATCTTCTTGGCTTTTTCAGCACAGCCATTCTGATGGATGTATAATACTATCAGTGATATACTTTTAAAATGCATTTTATTTGTTCTACTTTGTTTACTTCCAAAACGGAAATGAAGTCAACTTGTAATAAAAAGACAAATGAGAAAGGAACAATTTTTTAAGTTTTTCAAGAGGTAAAATTGTAATGGAAGAGGGCAAACAATTAAACCTGTACCAGGATGTTAGTGACTGCCACGGTTCAGCATAAAACTTATTTCTGAAATTGCTAGCAGCTAATACCAAAAGTGAAATGTGATGAGATAAATAGCTTGATCTAGGTCTCATAAAAGGAGTTAATAACAAATGGTCAAAAGGAATTCTGTTCAGAGGTTTAAATCGGAGTTCACAACATAATGGATACTTTCCAACAGCAATTTCATAAAAGATATAGACACACTTTCCATAAGGTTCTCTGCTTTCTTAATGCGTCTCTATACAAGTTTCAGACATAATACTAAACCGTGATTTTCTGAGGGAGCTTTTCCATAACTAAGCTTCTCAGAGTGAACTGCCAGACGGTATCTTAGGCTTCCCCTTTCAAATAGCAGTTGTCTTCGGAGCCTTTTTGAAAAAAAAAAAATAATTTTCTCTTCTGATTATAAAGGTAATAAAAAGCTCACTATAAACAGAAGCAAAGAAGAAATTAACCATTAATCCCACCACCCAGAGATAGCGTCTTCTAGCATTTTCTATAATAAAAAATGTTAATCAGCACTTTGAATTGAGATAGTTTTTTTCCTTTTTTTAAAGATTTCATTTATTCATGAGAGACACAGAGAGAAAGGCAGAGACAAGGCAGAGGGAGGAGCAGGCTCCCTGCAGGGAGCCCGATGCAGAACTCGATCACAGGACCCCAGGATCCTGACCTGAGCCAAAGGCAGACACTCAACCACTGAGCCACCGAGGTGCCCCTTCTTTTCCTTTTTTTTTTTTTTAATCAATAGCAGTCTGTGCTATCTGTTCTATTTTGTGACCAGTTTATTATTTTAATAGCTGCAGAAAAATTTAACCAGAATTCTGAATTATAGATTGCTCCCAACTTCCTGCTATGAAAAATATAAATTTTCGTGTACTTTTCTAATTGTTTTGTTAGAATAAATTCAAAGAAGTAGAGTTACTAGGTCAAAAAGAATATGCACGTAGAGGCTCTGATACACTAATAAACTGCCCCCAACACTGAAATCAATTTATACCCCATTAACCTGTATGGAAGAGCTTGTGTCCTTGCATCTTACTAATCCTAGATGTCGTTTTTCTTGCAGGTTTTTTACCATTTGCCAGGTTAAAAAAAAAAAAAAAGCATTCTTTTTTGAATTCTCTGACTCATCGGTTTAGAGCAAGGATACACATCATTTCACAAGCCTGTTGGCCATTTGAATGTCTCCATCTGTGAAGTGCTATGGTGTTACCCTTCAATTCGACCCATATATATTTATTACAAGCCTCGCTGTTGCCAGGCACACTGTTGGGTACTGGGAATAGAGAAATGTGCAAAAGTGGAGAAAAATCTTAGGTGACAACCCCATAGATCCCAGGGGTTCCCTGTATCAGCATTCTAGATGCTGAAGAGCACTACCAAGAATGATGCCCTGACCGATGGCGTCATTCCAGGTGAGCTGTTCCAATGGCAACTTCCTTGCTGCGCCCTCCAGTGAAACCACATCACCTGCTTTCTTGAGCAACAGTGGAATGACGTGTACCAAGTTTATCTAAAATATGGACCAAATTACCTAGGAATAACACTAAGAGGAAATAAACAGAAAAGAAGGAAAGAGGGAACCTCAATCAACGAGCCATGTTGGACAGCCCCGGTGGCTCAGTGGTTTAGCGCTGCCTGCAGCCCAGGGTGTGATCCTGGAGACCCTGGATCGAGTCCCACATCAGGCTCCCTGCATGGAGCCTGCTTCTCCCTCTGCCTGTGTCTCTGCTTCTCTCTCTCCTGTGTATTCTCATGAATAAATAAATAAAATCTTTTTTTAAAAAATGAGCCATGTAATAGGGTCGCAGTGGACTGAGCCTGTGAGGAAAGTTACTGAGAACTCTGAGAAAGGCTTTTAGGGGACGAAGCTCCCATAAAGATGGAAAGGAGAGGTCCCCTGTCTGAGAAACATGGTGCTCTTTGCTCTCTGCATTCTTGATTCAGGGTAATTCTAAAATAGCAAAGTCTCAAGCACAGATGGTTAGCACAGGATGGAATCAGCGTGCCTGAGCTCAGGGCATCTGTCTCAGACCCTAGCAGGGTTCAACCTCTGCATCATGAACTTGAGGACGCAGGCAGGATGCTGGCCAGATGTTCTGAGGACAAAGCTCTAGGAAATCTTCAATACCACAAAGAATACAATCCAGATTCAAATTCAAAAGTTCAGAAGAGGCTAGACCCAGAGGCCAAAACCGGTGAAAAGAAATTCAAGAGCGAAGTGTAACATCTGAGTGGTGTCTGAGAATTGTTACAAACCAACCACAGAAGTAGAGAATCAAAAAGACCAGACTTAACAGCAGTTATGGAGGAAAAAGTCTGAGGGGCATTTAGCAATTGGCAGAACACAATCCGACAGGTGACGCCGCTGCCAGAGGAGCCGGCTGTCTGGCTCCAGCCACACCTGGAAGGCCACCTGCTCCTACTTCACAAGCAGCCACTCCTCAGTCAGGCTGCCTGGAGCAGCCCTGGGAGGGAGACCTGGAGCCCAAGGGGTCCAGAAGCCACCCCCAGGGCCATGTGAAGGAAAGGAGGAACCTCAGTGGGGCTGAGACAACATTTTTAAATGTCTGCAGAACTATCATGTGGATAATGAATAAAACTCATCTTAGGTAGTCTGGAGACAGAACATGGGGAAAAAAAGTAATATGAATATTAACAACAGGTGGCATTTGCTGAGCGCCTACCTAGAATGAGCAGGCATGGTGCATGATCCCCAAACCCAGCCAAACTCCAGCCCCCCCCCCAACCTGGAAAATGGGGACCACCAGTGCCACCACGGAGGTGGGCCATTTGAGACAGTCCATGTCAAGCACACGAAAGAGGGCCTACACATCAAAACCTCTCAGTAGAGGGCACCCATCAGTCCAAATAAAAACCTGCAGGTGAATGCTCACAGTGGCATAAAATGGGAAAGAACCCAAATGCCCATCAACCGATGAGCAGACACACAAAATGGAGTCTACCCACACGTGAAATACTCAGCAAAGCATGAGGTGCTGACACCCTCAAAAGCACAGACGAACTCTGAAAATACTACATGTAATGAAAGAAGTCTGCCACAAAAGACCACCTACAGATGAATCCATTCACACAAAATGTCCAGAACAGGCAAATCCAAGAGACAGAGACAAGGTGAGGGACTTCTCAGCACCTGGGGGTAGTGGGGAGGGAGGGGGAGCCACTGCTACCAGGCTTCTCCTAGGGGATGGGAGTTGTAGCTCAGGAGAGCACCAACTTTTCAAAAGGAACCCATGACCACCTTCATACAATTGGCACAGCTTTATGAAGCAGCTGTTTACAGATAGGGAAACAGGCTCAACAACACTCAGTTGCAGAGGATGTGCCAGGATCCACACCAGCGCAGACCCGCACTCCTGGTCACTACACTGGTTATTCTGTGGAATGAGCAAGTGGAAGAAACAAAGAGGCTGATTTCAGCAGGATGCAGGACAGCAGAACAGTGGAATCTCACAGTGACAGCAGCACCCACCCCTCACCAGAGGTCCTACTGGGGCCTGAGAGCAGCTCCCAGGGCTGGCAAAGGGGGGCCCACTGTGTTCTTCTTCTACCAGGACGGTGGTTCACCAGATACTCTTACTGACCTTCCAACTGGAAGGCAATTCTCTGTCCTCTCTGTTCTAAATCTCAGAACACCACAAAGGGTTTCCAATTTCATACTGTTTCTTGAAGTTATACTTGGTTCCATGTATTTAAGAAATTATGGTTTCCTTATAGTTTTTAAAAACTGTACATCTTCCATTGTTCAAAACAACACGATTTCAATGCTGAGATTAATTTCAGTCATTTGACAGAAGGATGGGAGCTAAACAAACAAGCACTGGAAACACCGAAGCCAGCTGGTATACTCACCGTGAAGTTCATTTCCTTGATGGGTACCTTCAGGTGTTCAAATCCCACAATCACGGTATACTGAGTGTAATTTAAGTAGCCAAGATGAGCCACAATAATTTCTGCACACTTCTGCAAAGATGCAAGGAAGAGCTGTGTCTTTAAAGCAAGCATGACTGGCTCCCCCACCAACTGACCCATGAAATAACACATTTCAACAACAGATGAGCAGAACTAACCATCTCCAGGGAACTTGCCAGAGCCCAGAAAAATTCAGATGGCAGCCAAAAACAATTCTTAGAAAGAAAGAACCAAATGGATATTTTTGGAAACAAATAATAGATGATTTGCAATCATTAGAATCTTTCTACTTTGGATGATTCAAAATAATGTCACTTGCATAAAAAATGTTAACAGTACAACACAAACCTGACATTTGCACAAATACACTGGGGGGGGGCAAGAGGAGTGTGAGTTAAGACACAACAAATCAGACCCCTGAGCTCACTCTCCTCCCTACTCACTTGCACAGCTGCTGCATGATACCTAGAGTGACTGTGCCCCGTCACCCCAGTGCCTGTCCTTCTCTACGCGGAGCCCCTGTAGCCTCTGTGAGGAGGTCAGGTCCAACCCAAGGCAGACTACAGGAACAACGGCTAGAATGATTACCCAGGTGTGTGTGCTCACTGCCTGCCAAGAGCCCCTGTCTCCTGTCTTGTGCAGTTAGGAACTGCGTCCCCTCTACTTCAGCGTGGCCAGGGCGGTGAGCCCTCAGCCTGGATGCAGATGTGTCCTCAGTGGCTGGGCAGGCAGTGACCTAGGTGCAGCGACACCACCTAGCACTCCCTTGGGAAGTTCTCTCATAGTCCGACAGAACAGTTTTTGGGTGGCACTTGTGAGAGCTATGGCTGTGAACAGGGCAGTCACCCCTACCGTTGACCAAAGGCTCCCCAAGTCAGGAATGTCTGAGGTCAGGGTAGGAAAACAGATCTGGGTATACACAGGAAGCCTTAAAAAGATAAGGGGACAATTGGCAGGCAGGGGTGCTGACCTAGAGGACAGGTAAGAAGTCAGAAGAGGTGAGTGTGCGTGTTGCCCCTGGTCTCAGCAAAACCAAGTCCACCACCGTTCCCGACAGTCGGGTCACAGGAGGACACATGGAGACAGGAGCAGCTAAGTACTGAGCATGATCAGGAACAAAGGGGATCGCATTAGTGAATGTATTCATGCTGTACAGAGGACTACTTCTTAGAAGTGTGGACTCTTCGGGGGATGTTCGAATAACAACACAGTTATATTTCAGCCTACATATATCTTCAAATTTAAAAAACTACAGTGAGACCACCTGCCGATGTGTTTGTGTGTGTGGGATGGTTCTCAGTTCAAGCCACGGTTTGCACATGGATCACTACATGTCCCTACAAATCGCTCGGTGAGAGCACAGCATTCTCACCCGCCTGGTGTGGACCACTTGCTACCCGAGGCAGACAGCACTTTCTCTTTAGATCAAAACAGAGGTTGTATTAAGGGTGGTCAATATCTCTATAACATAAAAGTCCCATCTTTTTTTAGGTCAGGGCAGTGCTCCTAGGAGGGCTGGGAAGGGGCCTGCACAGAGAGACAACAGAAGAGAGAAGTCTCCAAGGATGACACTGTAGAGATGGAAGTAGGGCCACCAATGGGAGGGGAGACAAGGCACAAAAGCGCCACCATCAAGTTGCAGTGTTAGGGCGCTGCCAAGGAGCTATGCTGCAGACAGGCAGCCTTGTGGGCAGCCTGGCGCTATTTGAGGTAAAGGCTTCAGACAGGGTGACCGAGTTGTCCTAGCTGGACTGAGACTTGCCCCGGTTTAACACAAATCCCCCATCCTAGGAAACTCTTTGGTCCTCGCAAACCAGAAGGACCAGTCGCAGCAGCCTTACAGTAACATCACTGACTGCCCTTCATCATCACCCACTCGGTGAGAGAAAGAGGAAAGCCAGGGGCCAAAGTACCAGCCAAATCTGGACTCCAGCCTGCCTGGGAGTGGAGAGGAGGCCACCGCCCGTGCACAAACACCTAAGGCTCTCACACACTGTATTTGACTTGATTCTAGCCACTTACGAGGATGGTCAGGGAGGGCGTGACCCCACATTGCAGCCGAGGAAAACACATTTCAGAGGCTGGCCCGGCCCTCTTCCTGTGGGCGACCAACAGAGGCAGAGAGAGTCTGGTCACTCGCGGGGCTTTCCGAGCAACACCTGCCCAGGCCCACGATGCAGACCCAGTGGGTGAAGCAGCTGATTGAGTCTGGGAGCTGCTGCCTCGGGATCTTCAAGCAGATGGCAGAAGGAGACCCCAGACGGGGGTCACCCTCCAACAGGAACCCTTCCCCACCTGAATCCTTTCCTGCCAGGACAAAAGGGCCTGCTATTTCACTGTTCTGGACCAGGTGGTGCATGGCTGCTAAGGGTACAAGCTCTAGAATCAAACAGCATGGGCTGAAATCCTGGCCCCCTTCTCACCATGTGAGTCACCTCGAGCAAGGGCTCTGATCTCTCTGGGCCTCAGTTTCCTCTTGTGTACAAGGCGGGGGGGGTCTGATAACAGGGCCTGCTCTGTGGGCCTGCCCCAGGGACGGAAGGACACCTGAATGTCCAGAAAGCCTGGCAAGAGGCCTGTCAGGGAAACCACTTTCCTAACCCTACAATCCATGTGTTCTCTTTTCTGATGTTCCCCACGTCCTCTATGCCACCCACGACCAGCTTAGTCCTTGGGGGCCTCCCTGTTGTACACAGACCAGTCCCAGTTCCAGTGACTCAGGATTCTGACAGAACATGGTGCCAAAATAAACAAGAGCAAGGGTTCCTTTCTCACTTCTGATCACCAGGTTTCTCTATCCCATAACCACATACTGCTCTCTGAAGGAGATGCTCACACAAGTAGGCCACTCTTCCTACGAGGCCTGGGCCTCCAGAGGTAGACCAAGGCATCAATCAAAGGGCTGGAAACCCGAAGCCCTGGCAATTCAGAATGACCATGGAGCAGCCACAGACCTTCACAGGCGACAAGCAGCCCGTGAACAGCCATGTGTAGACACACCAGGCTGTACACAAATAGTAAAAACAGACCTTATATGTGTGAGAACGTGTGCACGTGTGTAAGGCTGTAAGAATTTATAAGGGTATCACTGTATAAAGTTAGGTGAGGGTTCCGTGCCATCACTAGTATGATTCAATTATTTTACCTAAGAAAGCAGATATGTAACAGGGCAGCATGATAATCGGCAACTGTTCCAAGATACTCACCCCCGCACAGGTGAGGGTCCTTGTCCGATTGTGAACTTTGTTATGAATGAACATGGTGGTCCCATCTTGAGCTACACCATCAACTTTAACGGTCATGAGGAAGCTTGTCTGAATGGATGTTTCTACAAAAGAAATTCAGTGTCAGAGACCACATCACACTTGCAAAACTAAGTACCCAGAAGGGTCCTCCAACTGCCTCAGCCTCAGCATATTTGAAAACCTCACACTTGTCAGCAAAGTAAAGCCATTCCATACGCTCTACTTCCAACGTGTTACCCAGGGGCCCACGTAAAAACTGACATTACAGGTTCATCAGTTTTGGTTCACCAAAGGGTAAGTAAGTATTTCATGGCTAATGAAAGTTTATTTTTTAATTTCCCACATAAGATTTTAATTTTATACTAAAATAAATTTAGATTTCTTATTTTTCTGATTATATAATTTATTATTTTGTTTTTATGCTCATTGTTTAAAAAAAATCAGAGAACAAAAAAATACAAAGATATATTAAACACTTATAATCCCACCACCCAGAGATAACCATATAATTAACATGTTGTGTCCATCCTCCCAGACCATTTTCTAGGCATACAAATACACAATGATGCCAAATTTATTTATGTTTTTAAAAATGTTACAAAAAGGGGTTAAGTTTTTGGTAATACATTTTTTCTTCACTTAATTTACTGTGGTCATGGGGTTATCTTTCCAAATTCTTTCTAAACCAAAGCACATCTGAATCACATGATACAGAAAATAAAGTGGGTGACCATTTCCTCAGGTCTCTCCAGACAGTACATAACTAGTGCTGCTCCAGACGAGCAGAGCTGAGGCTTTACAGACTGGGATGCTTCAGAGCAGGTTTCTCAGCCTCAGCAGCACTGATATTTTGAAGCCAGATAATCCTTGGCTGTGGGGCTGTTGCAAGCACTGCAGGATGTTCAGCAGCAGCCCTGGTCTTCTTCACCCTCTAGATACTAGTAGCACTCCTCCACCCCAATGGTGACAACGGCCCAAGTATCTGTCCCTAGGGGACAGAATCACTGCCACAGGGGCATCAGAACTTAATCCTCTCCTGAACCCCATGGAAGAAGGCTGCCCCAGCAGCACCTACACCATACATCCACTGAGCTAAGCTGACCGGTGCTCCCTGAACATTGAACCCTAACTTTCTCTGGAAGACAATGGCAGACATTTAGAGGGTTTCCAATTTGTTGCTATCATAAAAAAAAATGAGCATCCTTGGGATCCATCTTTGAGTACTCGTTCAAAGATTTTAAAGCTCTCTCAGTCTTTAAGATATGGTGCTTTGTGGGATCCCTGGGTGGCGCAGCGGTTTGGCGCCTGTCTTTGGCCCAGGGCGCGATCCTGGAGACCCGGGATCGAATCCCACATCGGGCTCCCGGTGCATGGAGCCTGCTTCTCCCTCTGCCTGTGTCTCTGCCTCTCTCTCTCTCTCTCTCTCTCTCTCTCTCTGTGACTATCATAAGTAAATAAAAAATTAAAAAAAAAAGATATGGTGCTTTGTACAAAGAAAAACGGTTCTGAAATGTCAGACTTCATACCTTTTGATTGATCCAGCTCCACAACACATGTCAGCCATAGTTGCTGATTATATGTAGACAGTGGATTTGAAAGTATTTGAATTGGCTTCAGCTAAGGCAAAAAGAAAAAAAGTTAAGTAATCCATTTGACCTTTTCATTAAGTCTACCAAATACCTCCTCTTAATGTACAAAAATTACATTTAATAAAAAAGGTCTGTGTTAGCTTTGAAACAGAAACAGGTAGTTTTCCTTTAGGCAATATAAGTAGAATTCTGCTTTCCAGAAAAATTAAAGATCAATTTTCTATTGCAATCTCCTCTGTCTCTTGAAGACCTCTAAACAGGCAATGTCCACTACCCACAGCCCTGGGACCACAGGCCTAGTTAATAGCAAGAAAAAGCCATCCTGGAGAAAAAAATTAAAAGTACCATGATGAGACATATTATAAGATAATAAAGGACACCAAGTCTATATTTTCATGTTCACAAGAATCATTTCCTCAGTACTAGTATGCCTGGTCTGTTGCTATTTGAGGTGTATTGTTTTCAGCTTTTGGAAAGTCTTAATGCTCTGGAGAAAAAAATTAGAAGGGACATATTGCCAATGATACTTCTGCAATGTGTGCTGAGAACTATACTACTGGCTTCTAGCAGCCATGGGATAGAGAGAGAACATTGCTTAAGAGCCCATCCATGGCCAAAGAAATGCATTATTTGAATGCACAATCTTTGAACATAAGTATGTAGTATCTGTGTTTTAGTGCTGGTGGAAACTCCATGACTGTAGGCTTGCCCAAGCCGCGAGGCATTGAAACCTACCAGAGGATGGTCTATCATCTTTCAGAAGGGAGTCTGATCTTTTGGGAGCAAGTCAGTTTGGTGGGACTGCAGCTATTTTCAGTGTCAAAAGAAAAAAGACTTATATCCAGAGACAAATTTTAAAAGACCCAACTGTGGTCAGGAAACCCCATGGGGCACCTCTTCAAATCAGATATCCTCAGGGCAAGAGGTAAAGAAAATAAAGAAATGCAAATGTCAGCAGACTAACCAGAGGGCCCTTTTAAACTAACAAGAGTAAGAAGAATTAAAAGGTTAAGTTTTAGGACATTTTCCTCCTTTTGCTTTTTTGAAAATGGTAAAGGTAAAAACCTTCCAGAGAGCTAGGAGAAGGAAGACAGGGATGTTTGGGGTCAAATAATCTGGTTTAAACATGTTATGGTGCCATGAGAACATGGAACAATTGCATTCAGTTTATAAATAAAGATACGAGTCTGAAATGCAGAACAAGAAAAGGGTTTATTTAGTTGTTTGGGCTCTCACAAGTTAGCACTTATTAAAGATTACTGAAATTCTCCAATTGGATGGATCTTTGTTTTTCTCTAAAGATGTTGAAAAAATCAACCACATTAAAAAAGAAAAAAAAAGAAAGAAAAAGGGTTTTTTCATTTAAACTGAGTTCATACCAATCCTGGAGGCACCTGGGTCCATCTGCCTTCGGCTCAGGTCATAATCCCAGGGTCCTGGGATGGAGCCCCACATCAGGTTCCCTGCTCAGCAGGCAGCCTGCTTCTCCCTCTGCTTCTGCCTCTCCCCCCACTTGTGTGCGCACTCTTTCTCCCTCAAATTAAAAAAATAAAATAAAAAAACTCTGTTCCTGTTAGAAAACCAACGTGGAGACCACATTAACTTGAGTAAATATAGTAAGAAATCATCAGATGCCTCCGGGAGCAGTGTTGGAACTTCCAGTCTAGTAAGAATTGTGGGTGTGATGCATCGGGGTGAGTCAATGGGCATCTGGAAAAGAACTGCTGTTCCCCAGGTTGACAGCACCATCCTCTCCAGTGCTGCGCTATTACAGTGGCAGAGAAGGTCCTTCTGGCAAACAAGAGCCCAGAGGCCAGCAGTGACAGTGCTAGGAAACATGCGTGTTGCCCAAGCAGCAAGCTTAGCAAGGGTGGTGCACCCCAGGGACCCTCTGAGCAGGACCATTTCTGAATGACCCGGAAGGTTATAGGGCCCTGCTAGCCACCCCTTCAACCCAGTCTTACCTTTTTACTATTATTTAGTGAAAAATTAGCTGCAGAAGTCTGGATCACTTTGGGCCCTAAAAGTGTAACAGAGAAGGAGAAAAGCAGGTTATATCTATAATTAATTTGTTGATTGTTTTTTCAAATGCCAATAAAGATTCGCGCCTCATGTACAAATGTTATTTTCCTGGTCTGTCCTTAGGGGACAGAAACACACAAAACACACACCACACCCACTCTGCTGCATTCCCAACACAGGTGAACACAGTGTGACCATCACACCCTGTATGTGGTTCACACGGGATCTATATGCCAAAACCTCTCCTTCACCTCCAATGAATGTTCACTTTCTAGTACTCAGATCCAAGAAACTATCCATGATACAGATGTCATCTATATATTTTGTAAAGTATAAAGATTTCTGCTAAAAAATGAAGTCACATTTATCTGTTCATCTGGTTAATCCAGTCTTCCAAAAATATTTATTAAGCTCAAGATATAAAAAAGCATAAAATGTATGAATGTATACCCAAAGCTTTTTCCTGAAATAACAGATATATAAGCTTCATGGAATCATACAATGTAACTTTTCAGAGCTTCCGCTTCAAAGGAAAGCAGTGTGAAGCAGATTTTAACTTAACATAATCTGTTCTAAAATCACTCTCAGCTGTGATGCTAGTTTGCTGGGCCGCCTCAGTGACCAAGGAGCCTCCATTTAGAGGAAATACATGAGCATGCACATGAGTATGTAACAAGTTCATAACCAATGCAGCGACATGTGTTCAGAACGCATTCATGAATGCTGAGGAAGCTGTCCTTGAGTGGGAAGGAGGTCTGCACCCACAGCGAGGCTTATTTTAAACAGATCCACAATATGAGCAAACCCCTGTTCCAAAAAATAAGGCAGTCTTCTTTCTCAGAAAGAACTAAGAACTAGGAGTCAGAAAAGTCTAGACTGTAGTCTTAGCTAACTTGGCTTTCTGAATGTGTTTTCACATTTGCAAATGAGGATGACTGACCCAGTGGTTGCTAAGGGTCCACTCCCATTCCGAAATCCTCATAAGATTACCAGAGGACTTAGGATGGTAAATTTGTGTCAATTTGGGCTGTGGGGTGCCCAGATATCTGGCTAAACGTGATTCTGTTTCTGTGAGGGTGTTTCTGGATGAGATTCACATTTGAAGCAGTAGACAGAGGAAAGCAGACTGCCCTGGCCAATGTGGGTGGGCCTCATCCAAATGGTTGAAGGCCTAAACAGAGCAAAAGGCTGAGTAAGGGGATTATCTGCTCTCTGTCTTCAAGCTGCTATTCATGTTTCCAGACACAGACTGGACCTCATTCAGCTCTCCTGTGCCTCTAGATTGCCAACTACAGATCTTGGAACTTCTCAGCCTCCATAATCATGTGGGCCAGTTCCTTATAATAAATCTCTCTCTCAGGGCAGCCCCGGTGGCTCAGCGGTTTAGCTCCACCTTCGGCCTGGGGTGTGATCCTGGAGACCCCAGGATTGAGTCCCATGTCGGGCTCCCTGCATGGAGCCTGCTTCTCCCTCTGCCTGTGTCTCTGCCTACCCCCCCCTCTCTGTCTCTCATGAATAAAATATTTAAAAAAAATAATAAATCTCTCTCTCCCCTCCACCTCTGCCCCTCTCTTTTCCTCCCTCCCTCTCTCCATCTCCATATTCATACCTCCTGTTGCTTCAGTTTCTGACTAACACAGAATTCGGTACTAAGAGGGGTTACAGAGGAAGAGTTCTTTAATATTGGTTCTGGGGTTTCTGGAATTGGTTCTCTAATCTGATTAGGTATAAAGATAATAACAACTCTATGTCCAGTAGTAAAGACAACACTGGTGGTTCATGAAAACATGCAAAATATCCCCACTGGATATTCCTAATCAACCACTTATAAGGAAGAGCTAAGTGACTCTATGGTATTTTAGAATATTTTTAGAAAACAAAGAATGAGGTTGGCCGGTTGTTCCTAATGTCCCTGGACAAAGTGGTTTAAAAAAAAAAAAAAAAAAAGGCAAGCTCAGGGGTTTGAATTCTCAGCTCCAATGCTGTGTAAAAGACCTGACAGCTTCTGTGCATCCTGACAGAGACCCTTATCTCCTGCAGCCACAGGGATGAGTGCTGAAAATCAAGCCCAGAATCTTATCCTGCAGCTGGCTGAATGACAACACAAGCTGAACACCAGCCTCGCAGGCTGCTTCAATATTCAAGTGACAGCACTGGCTGGGGAGTGGCGTGACCCTGGCCTGCGAACATACAGGAAGATCCTGACAGAGTTGGGGGCACAGAGCTACTAAATTTCGATGCATTTTCTTTGTCACTGGAAGAGTTCTCCCCATTCCCAGACGTAGCCTTTCCAACTCCTTTTGAGGTGGAAAGCATGCTTTACCTAAGGAGACGGTCTGAGGGCTATGAAGAACGATGCAGATTGTGCTCAGCAACCTGCCCTCTCTGCTTCTAGAACAATAACTAGGCTCAAGTCCCAGCAGGCCCCCAAAGGTGAAGTACAAAGTATGACCCACGAGGAGATGCACTACACTCCAAAGGAACTACTTGAATTTTTCTGATTTATACAGAGAGAAATCCGGGAGACACGTGTGGGAATGAATACTAAGGGTGTGGGAAACGTGGAAGGAACATAAAGCTGGATTGGGCTGAATTTGTGGATGTGGCCTCACTAAGCAGAGACTCTGCATTGCATGCTGGAGCTCAAGGAGTTAGGAAGGGCTCTAACAGTGAATTGGCTGGTTAAAACATGGACCCAAAGTTGGTCCCCAGCGAGCAAATCAGAAATGCCACACCTGCCTTGATTTAATGGAAATTCAGAGGCTTAGGGAGACGGGAACATTGAGGTGGATTTGTCATTTAAGGCTGGGTAGGAGATTCCAGGACACAGAGCTTTTACCACTACTATGAGGAACACATTTCTGAGGGGGCCCAGCATCCTTAAAGAGCTCTGTAACTGCCTCACTCTGTAGGCCAGACCTTGCAGTAGGAACCACAGTCACTCAACCTGGGAAACAAAGTGCGATGGGAGTAACTAGATCCCGGGAGCGGTGGGGCCTAGCAGTGGCACTCACCCGGCAAAAGCAAGGTGGGTTTGGTTACTGTAATGGACAAGACAGTCAAAGCAACAATCAGAAGAGTCTGATTTGCACAGACCTGTGGTGCTGGTTCACTATGACATTCCTAGTAGTGAAATACACAGGAAGCCTACTAAGGTCTGACTTGACCTGTGTAAGCAGAAAAGTCTAAATCAAGTGAATAAAAGTCTAACCTGAATCATAAAAAGAGTCACAGCCGATCAAGAGTTTCCAGATTTAGGCCACTTTACAGATCCAAACCCTATGAATAAAGGAAGACTGGGTCCCCTTAAGAAAGCACCCCAGTACACTGCAAAAATGTAGATTGCTCATCATTCTCCCAAAGGAAACTACAGCCCTTTTTTACCAAGATAACTGCATTCTGGGGAAAAGGAAATACATGTTGGAATCCCCTGGACACTGGCTCTGAATTGACCCCAATTTTCGGAAACCCAAAACATCAGTGTAGTCCACTCATCAGAGTAATCAACGGGGTTTTAGCTCAAGTACATGTCACAATGGCCCCAGTGGGTCCCTGAACCCATCCTATGGCTCAATCCCCAGTTCCAGAATGTATATTGCAATAGATATGGGCAGTAGCTGGCAAAACCTCCACACTGATTCCCTGACTTATGGGGTGAGGGCAATTATGGTGGGAAAGGCCAAATGGAAGTCACCAGGACAGCCTCTACCTACAAAAATACAATCAAAACCAGTAGCACATTCCTAGACCACAGACATCCATGTTCCTATTGAGAACTTGAAAGATTCCCACCACATCTCCATTCAGCTCACCTACCTGGCCTGAGGGGAGGGAAGGTAGATCTTGGAGAGGACAGTGGACCACCATAAGCTTCATCAGGTGGTGATTACAACTATAGCTGCTATATCGGCTTGAGCAAATTCACACATCCTCTGGTACCTGAGGATGCTGAATAGCTACTGATCTGGAAAATACTATTTTCTTCATCCCTGAGAATAAGGCCCACTAGAAGCCGGGCCAGCAATACACCTACACTATCCTACCTCAACAGCATGTCAACTCTCCAGCCCTATATCATAATTTAGTTTGCACAGACCTTGGTTATCTTTCCCTTCCACAACCTATCATCCTGGTCCATCACATTGATGGTGTTATGCTGACTGGACTTAGCGAGCAAGAGGAAGCAACTACTCTAAACTCATTGTTAAGACACTTGCATGTCAGAGGATGGGAAATAAATCTGGTTAAAATTGAGGGGCTTTCTACCCCAGTGAAATTTCCAGGGGTCCCATGGTGTGCACCATGTAGAGCTATCCCTTCTAAGATGAAAGATAAACTGTTGTATTTGGCTGACACTACAACCAAAACAGAAGCACAATGCCTAATGGGCCTCACCTCTTTGCATTTTGGAGGTAACATTTTTTTTTTTTGTATGATACTCCAGCCTATTTACCTAGTGACCCAAAAAGGTGCAAGTTTTGAGTGGGGCCCAGAATAAGAGAAGGCTCTCCAACAAGTCCGGGCTGCCATCCAAGCTGCCTACTGTGGGGGCCATATGATCTGGCACATATAAGGTGTCTGAAATGTCAGAAGATAGGGATGCCATTTAGAGCCTTTGGCAGGGCTCTATAGATGAATCTTCATGTAGGCTCTTGGGACTTTGGAGCACAGCCTTGCCCTTCTCCATAGATAAATATTCTTCTTAAAAGACACAGCTCTTGGCTTGTTATTGAGCCTTAGTAGAAACTAAATGCTTACCCACAGGCCCAAGTTACTGTGAGAACTGAGCCGCCCATCATGAACTGGGTGTTATCTGACCCATGGGTCATGAAGTTGGGCATGCATGGCAGCATTCCATCATCAAATGGAAGCAGTACCTATGTGGTCAGGCCCGAGAAGACCCTATGGGCACAAAAAATCTCTCTCTATTGGAATCTACACATATCTTATTGGTGTGTTTCTCTGGAGAACCCTAATACCAGTACCTGCTGGGAAGAAGGAAAGGGATGTGGGAATCCTGACTTTTTTTTTTTTTTTAATCTCAACCTGGGCGCATCACCTCATTTTTGCAAGAATGGAAAAGGCTGACTATAGTCACAGACATTTGCAACAGACAGTGGATTAGGGAAACAAGAGTTGGCTGAGGTCCCATGGGACTCCAATCATGAGGCTGTCCATGCTTCTCCTACCAATCTTCAAAGGACAGTTATGAAAATCCAGTAAGATGACTGATATATCCTGTGCCAGAATTAATGTAACTTATTCCTTGGTGACCTCACATGAAGGCAAAGAAGAGGCTGGCTACAGCTGCTATTGTCACCATGACGTTCATCATCAGCGAGCAAACAGCACCTAAACCACCACCCTCACCCCCAGCTTCCTGGGGCCAGTCGTCAGCTCAGGACCAGTTGAGGTTAAGACACTAGCCACTGGAGGCACAAGTGCCTCTGGGACAGGCTAAGCCTAAAATGTCATCCATATTTAATATGAAATGCTGTAATTAAATAAACACCTGCCAGAAACCATGCTCACTAAATATGATGTTTAAGAGGGAAAGAAGAAACAACCTACACAGGTCCTGGTCTCCTACCCCCTGGATAGGGCTGAAGAGACTGGGTTGTTCGGAACCTTATGAAAACGGGCCAACTTCTTTGGTTCTGTTTTCCATCTATGTGAAATAGGGTTGGACTGGATGATTGCAGAGGCATTTTTGAAGCTAAAATCATTATGGTGTCTCTCCCACTCATATTACATGCTATGAAACCCCAGGGCACCTGCGGCCCTAAACACAAGGCCAAAGCCAATCTGCAGGCTCCCTCCCACCAAGAGTTCAGGGCATCATCAGAGCAGCCTCCTGGCTCCCACTTAGTCATCCCAGGCTTATCTCATGCCTCCCCACAACCCAAGAATGTGCTGCCCTGGATAGTTTACATGGCCTGTGGCCCACATCAGCCAGTGTGTCCTGGACTCCCTAGTGCCCAGGCTGGGTCCTGAGCACAGGAGCCTCTACAGAAACATTTGTCCAATAAAAGGTACGCAGTCAGGGCCACCTGGTGCTGCCAAGTTAACCTCAAGCCCTGGCTGCTATGAGGGGCAAGACCAGGGTCACCCCTTGCCCAGTGGGTTCAGAATGCAGCGGCGCTTCACCCTCCACCATGGGGCCCTTAGCAGGAGACAGAAAGTGGTAGAGTTTGCCCGGGCTCTAAAAGCATGCACCAGGGTAACTATAAATGATAAAATGGCCAAGAACTGCACCTTACCTCTGATCCCAACGAAGACGGTCAGGCCAAAACAGACGAAGAAGACAACAAACACGAGGACAAAGTGGCGCTTGGAGAGCGTGTACAGCCGCATGGGTGCCAACCTGCAGAGAAGCCAGTAGGTGAGGGTCAGGCAACAGTGGTGGAATCCACAGGAGGCCCCTCCCCAACCAGCAACATCCCCAGGCTGCATCTGGCTACCCCCTCCCCACCTCGGAAGCGGACCTACTCTAAACCCAGGTGACCCGCCTGACAAAACTGCCCAAGTAACCTGGGTGACTACTACAGGGCAGGTGACTCTCCGGGGCATCAGGGGTGGACTGCCACCCTTTCCGTATGGGACCAGCCAGACCCCACTCCTCACGGCACGACAGCATGCTGTGGCTTCAGGGCCCACTGAGGGCATGTTTCACCGCACCACACACACGGTGGCTGAGGCCCCTCCACAGGCCCCCCACCTTCAGCGGCCAGAGGGGAGCCCCAGTGCGCAGAGGACCCTGACCCCCTCACACAAACATGCAGCCTGAACAGTTAGCTGGCACAATCAAGCCCAGACTGGGAACTGTAGGGCCACCAGCACGCATTTTCCTACCTGGTCCTCCAGTAGCCCACAACTTTGTTCCTCCTGTCCAGGGTTCCTTACAACCCCTCACCTGCGTCAGCTTAGCCTGACCTTCGCTGTGGGGTTTGCTGTGGATGCAACTGAGCAGGCTGCCCGCACTCTTCTATGACTTACACCAGTGTGGAGAGCAAGACATGATGTACACACGTGTGCGTGGCTGCGCTCCGATTCAACCCTCTCACAGAGAGGCGGGGGGCCAGGCTTGGCCTGCAAGCAGCCGATCCCGCCTTATAACCTAAAGAGGAGGCCCATAAATCCAAAGAGACGAGAATGGGAGGGGAGGTTTGGTTTTGCTTTTTACATTTTTTTTTTTTTTTATTCCTCTGGAATTCCCTGGTCCTGGGAACTGAGAAGGAGGAATTTCTCCTGCCTCAGGAACAGCACACACACCCAGGGACAGGGAAAACCGGGCTTAGAACTGAAACGGAAGGAAAGGTTATTTGCTTTAAGGTGTTGTGTGCACGCAATCTCTCCTTCCACGGCTGCAGATTCCAGCTCCTGAGCAGGAAATCAGCTGGACAATATCTGGGAGCAAAGGTTGTGGCCCATAAGCCACCTTTGCTCAGACGTGGCTTTGCTGATTCCCCAGCCGGCTCTCCCCAGCAGGACCCATCAGGCCTTGGGCCAGTGAACCCCGGGCTCCGTGTCACTGTGGTTCACAGAATGACGGCATCAGTGAAGAAATGAAGGAATGAGTGCCTCTGTCTTTGTCCTGGGGACACAGGTCCAAAGGCCAACACACAAATGACCCTGCTCTGCAAGAGAAATGAGAGCCAGTGGATTAAGAAGCCTAACCCCAACTCTGATTTCAGAACCTAAAGTTTTGTGTGGGTTTTTTAAGATTTATTTATTTTAGAGAGTGAGTGAAAGTATGAGGGGAGGGGGGGCAGCAAAGAGAGAGAATCTCCAGCCGACTCCCAGCTGAGTGTAGAGCCTGATACAGGGCTCGATCTCATCACTCAGATCACGATCTGAGGCAAAACCCGGAGTTGAACACTTAACTGAGCCACCTGGGTGCCCCTGGACCCTAAAGATTCTAAGAGGCCTGAAAGCTTTAAAATATTAGAGCCAGAAAGGACCTCAGGGAGGAAGCCCAACCCGTTCAACTTACACACGGGGACAACATCAGAGCTCTGTCCCTTGGCAGGAACTGCCGGTCCCCAGGAAGGAGGCTCAGCAAGCAGGAAGAGCTGAGGGGACCCGCCTCCACGACTGTGCTTCTGGGGAAAGCCCTGTGGGAGCGGGGCCGGCACCAGAACAAGGTCCTCTTTGTCGGGGCTCTGCTGTCCCCAGGTGTGGAGGCTAATAACGCAGTCCCTCCGCACAGCCTGCAGAAGGGAGACTTCTGTGCAGCTGCGCGGGTGTTTTCACTTTGAAAACACATTACACAAAGCTAAATGGACTAGCTGTGGGGAAAAGGCCGAGAAAGTCTGTGGTTCACGGGACCACGCCAACATGGCTCTCTGGAGTGTGACAGAGCCTCGGTGCGGAGACGCCGGCATGAGGGGAGGCTGGGTGAGGGCCATGCGGACACTCTACTATCTTTACCACTCTTCTGTAAATCTCGGTATTTAAACATTAAACACCTTTCACGTATGGTACCCCACTCTGCCGCTCTCGGGGCGACGTGCCCCCCCACCCTGTGCTGAGGCTCTGAGGGGCGCCCAGGGCTCCCGGCACAGGTGAGAGCCCAGGAGAGGTTACTCAGAAGCAGAGGAAAACAGAATAATTATATTTAAATCTTGATATCTAAAACGCACTATTAATTAAAACACATCCTCGCTGACTTGTCAGAGAAGCAGTGCCGCGGAAAGCGCAAGGCCGAGTGCCTGCGGCGCGTGCCCACCCGGGGGCGTGTGCAAACCCCCCTCTGGGCTCAGTACAAGCCCAGTGTTCCCCCCCTTCCTTAAAACGGCCACTTAACATCCAATTTATTACAGATTTTCCTGGTTTAGAAATCAGGCCTCACCCAACTCAGTGGAAGAGAGACACCGAGATAGCAAAGCAAGTGCCCTGCCCGCGGAAACGTCCCCGGGCACAACCCCATCCACGCCCCAGGCTGCTGGGCATCGGCTGGGCATCGCGCCGCCTTTCTGCTGCCTTCGGGTTCCTGCCGAGCAGGAGACCTTTCCAGGTGTCCTCACGCCGGAGGGTCTGGGGTCCAGAGACCCCCTCCAGTCACGAGGGACCGTGTGCCAGGGCCAACGCCAAGACAGCTCGGTTCCGCATGACGGCGCCACCTCCCCAGGGCTCCTTCTGCTCTCAACTTCGCATCTAAAAACTTTGAAGCGCTTCGCCAAAAATCTAGAGACTTCTAAAACCTCGGGAATATCTTCCTAGTCGAGACAAATCACAGGTCTACAGTATTGTTCAGTCAAAGTAGCAAAACCGTTAAGATGCCAACACGAAGACAGGAGCAGTGGCAGTAGCAGCGGAGGGTAGAGCCCCTCCCCCCGCCCACCACCACCCCAGCTGGTCTCGCTTCACATCTCCTGGTCCCAGCTGTCCCACAACCACTTCCTGCCCAAATCAGTCATTTCTCTGCCCACTTCCCACTTCACCTCCCACCTGAAACACCAATGTGTTTCTAACAACCCAGCTGGCCTAAATTAACCGGCAGCCCAGGCAAGTCTCCGTGACAGCCCTGACGCCCTAGGATCAGGCCACCAACAGAAGGAACGTTCTGTAAACGCTCAGAGGCAAGATATGTGATGCAGAAAAGGCACGCAGGCCGTTACCAGGAGGCCTCTGACCCAGCAGCCTCAACCCATCCTGCACATGAGCCTCTACTGTCCCCCACCCCTTCTGGTAGACTCTGCAGCCCCAGGGGGATCCCCGGCTTCCTCCTCCCCACCTCCAGGAACCGTCCCCAAGCCTTTGCTGGCCCCTGATGCCATTCTGAGGCAGTGTCCCCCAGGACGCTTTCACTTAGGACTCCACACCACTCTACGGTCAATAAGTTTAAAACTGAACCCATTAAGGCACAAAACAGCAAAAGAAAAAGCTGTTTCCACTCCCCATTTCCTGCCTCTACGCTTTCTCCACATCCTGAAACCTTGGAGTCACCTCTGCGGATGCCGGTCCCTCGCTCACCCCGCTGCTGCAGCTGGCCAGGAAGGGGGCGCCAGGCCGAGTCCAGCGGCCCAGGCCCCCCACCACTCCTGGAACGGTCACCGCACCAGCCTCCCTGACGCGTCCTCCGCGGCGCTGGACCTGCTGCCCCACACAGGAGGCCTCTGGCTCCTCACAGCCACTCCGTCAAGGCTCAACTCCCCCTCATGGCTTCCCAGGTCCCCCCAAACCCGTCCCCATGACTCCTACCATGCGGCACGTAAGCCTGGCGAAGCACGACCTGCGGTGGTCATCACGCTGCCTTCCGAGGAAGGTCCGACCCCTTCCAGAACCCCCAGATGAGGGCTCAGGCTGAGGGGCACTCAAACCAAGCATCCGAATCCGATGCCTACACTGTTTCCCACCATGGTCGAGCCGGACTCCGGACCAGCCCCTGCGTACACCGCCCTCCCGACGGGAGACGCTCTCTCTCTTCCCCACCAAATCACTGAAATCGAAATCACCTGTAAGTCCCACCTCCTCCAGGAAGCCCTTCCTCCTCTCGCGGTCTCCCCCGTAAAGACCTCTCCAGCACACAGGGCCCGCGTGGCCGAGCGCCTGGAGACTGACAGCCCGTCTATCTGCATGGATGCCAGACCCACGGAAACACCTACTCAACTCTCATTCGTTACCTCGGAAGTGTTCATGTCCTTCCCTCAAACTGGTGTCAGCTACTAGGGAGCAGGGAGAGGACTCCCCCTTTCCCCAAACAGCCCGGCTGAGTCACACACAGCAGCTGGTGGAATCTTCTCCCTGGATAACCAGAGCAGGAAGGCTCGAGCAAAACCCTGCCAGCTCGGGACAGTTGTCCCTCCTTTCTCTCCTCTCGAGGGGACCCACACGCCAGTGTTCCCTCCAGGCCCATGTCTCTTTTTACACGCAGGCTCTCTGCAGCCGGACCGACGTCATCACGGTCTTGCTGGGACACAGCTGCACGGTGCTGCCCTTTACTCTCTTCCCTCTTCAGCTCTGCTCCCTGTGACCTCCTCCTGTGTCAGGCTTTAGAGACGCTGCAGGTGCGAACAATTCCACGCTCACAGCTGAGCCCCAGACTGCCGGGAAAGGCCTACTTGACACCACCCTGGGATATCCAGTAGGCAGCTCGAGTGTGACGCGTCCAAAGCCAGACTCTGGATCTTCTGCTGACCCTGTCTGCAGTGTTCCCCTCCCCAGGAAGTAGCCTCTCCAACCTTCCACCGGCTCAGGCCCAGGACTCAGCAGTCCTCTGGGACCTGTGTCTTCCCCTCACTCCCCACGTCTATGATACTCAAAATGTAGAGTTTCGGCCCTCCTCAGCTCTCCAGTCAGGCCTGCCATGTGTCACTGGACTGCAGCAGCCTTCCCTGGCCTTCCTGCTTCTGGCCTTGGCAC